TCTAAATATTCTCCAACTGTAACAGTGTCTTTCGTGTCTTCAGAGGCCATTACTATTATTACTATTCCCGGAAGTTGGACTGCTTATAACGTAAATCGATTTCAATTTCACGTGACTAAACAAACAGTGTGTAGTATGGAACCAATTTTACTAATTTATAATTATTTTATATTACCTGATACCATTGTTAATAATTCAATATTCTTTATAAGGTATCAAGGTATTGTGAAGCACAAGATTCACATATTACTTACTTTTTTTATTTTGTTTATCTTGTTAATATACTGTATATTTTCAAGATATTAAATAATAAAAATAAACAATTGAAAATAAAATTCAAAAAATAAAATATATAAGATAGTATAAATTAAAAAAATAAGTAAACAAATGTAATCTTTATTATTTATAAAATTAATTATTGTATATATATAAATTATTTATATATTTAATACAACAATAATTATATCAATTACAAAATCAAGATATTGTTATAACAAATCCCAAGTCAAAATATAAAAGCACAAAGAAAAAATTTGAATATATTAAACAACAGGATGTTAAACAATTATTGCAAAACTTATGGACAATATTTATTATTAAAAATTTATTATTAAATAATTAACAACTTTATTGGATTTTATTGAACAATATGTAGGACATATTCTTGAAATCTGTTTAAAATTATATTATTCAATATTAATTATTATTATTATTATATATATATATTCTTTTATTTTTAATTATATACTTATTTTTTTTGAGAGAAATTTCATATTGGACAATAATATATCATATAACAATTTGGAGGATATCTATTGAAAAAAAAAATTCAAAATTATATGACAATAAAGGTCTACTGAGCAACACCTTATTGTTATTTTATCACCAATCCATAAAGTAACACAGTAATAAGAAAAATGTAAACAATAGCATGGACAAAACAATTTATTTAAAAAAATAGTTCTGAAGGTTCATAAATTACATGTGAATTTGGGAAGCAAGCAAAATATTTCATATTGTTAGGATTAGTACTAAGATCTTTATATGGATAGTTTTCTATCCAAGAAGAATTAAGATTCTAAACAAAAGAATAAAAAGTGATATCAATCTGCCAAGAAAAAGTGTAATAACTAGGAATAGGATGATGACACTGAAATAATATTGACTGAAATTCATCAATATGCTCCCAAAGTATCAAAACTTTTAAATGCAAAGCATCTTATTTATGAAGTCTTAACACTATCCAATTAACATTTACCTCAAGAAATGAAGTAATATGAAACCAATAGTGACCTAGGGATTTTTGACCATGAATTTAGAGATATTGCAGCTAATTTCTTTGTTTTTGGTATTGAAACTGCAATTGAGATAATTGATTTTATAGTTTAACCAACTTTTCTTGATATTTTAGATATTTATACCTAATAATGACATGATCAAGGAACTTAATTTTCTCTTGAAGATTCATTATACAACATATAATAGCATCAAGATGTTCAATGACATAAGCAAGTTTATTAATACGAGGCATAATTATAATTAAAAAAAAGAAGATAAAAGTATAGTAAGAGAAAAATTCGTCTTTAAATATAAAAGTGATCAATAATATTAATCGGTATAATCTCAAAACCTATATAATTACTCATATCCTGAAAAAATTTCTACTATAGAAAATACCCAAATTTATATGCCAACGATCTGCCTTAGGAAAAATAAACTTACTTAAAATAGATATACTTTTCATTTTGGATAAAACTCTAGAGAAATTTACTATGTCATATAATTCAATTGCATTAATCAATGAGTTTATTAGAATGATGATCTTGAAAATTATCTGATATATATAACAATCCTATCAAATTGCTGTATTAGCTTATCTGTATTACCTAGGAAAACTATTGAAAGTCACAAAGAATTCGCAACAAATTTGAAAGGAATATATTCAAAAATATTTACTACCTAATCATGGAAAATACTACTGATTTGCTATACAAACTTATGAAATTTTTCAGAAGAATATGAAACAAATTTATTAAACAAAGTATTTATCTATACACTATATTGCATCAATTAGAATTTTAGTTACTGTATTATATTATATTAAATTAGTTTAATATTTGATTTTGATACTTTCAGTTCGATATTGATATTACAAAGTTTTGTACCGAAAAAATTTTTGATATTGGTTTTATAAAATATCATACCGAATGGTACCAATTGGAATCTTAAATAATATGAATATAATATGATTTTTGAAAAATATTTGAATTAAATATAATATACATATGGTATAAATTATTTTGCTGTTGACTCAATTCTCAAAATCCTTAAAAATAATTGCGTCATAACTCAATTATTTATATGTTTTAATAGTGACTCAATTAATTGCGTCAAATAATTGCGTCAATTGCGTCAAAGATCTATGAATTTCAACAACATGTATAAAATATAAATATATATATAATCCAAATCACTTTTGCTCAAGATATGAACTCAGAATTGAAAACATAAGGCATGTATTCAAGTATATCAAGGCAGAAAAGCAAATAATCCAAATTATCAATACTATAAATAATATACTCTGTCCAAGCAAAAATAATATTCCAGTTGATCATATTTGGCAAGTAGTTAAACTGTCCTACGGAGTTATCAGCAAGATCTTTGTTGTAACTAATATTGATACTTGAATAAAAGCAACCTTAGAAACACTTACTTTTCTCTATAACCTTATATGAAAACCAAAGTGTAACATAGCAAACATTTCTTCTTCTACAAGAATAACTTGAAATTAGAATCTTTACCAATCTTACAAGAAATATTTAATCAAATTCTATAATCAATCTTGTCAAGTTTCAAATTCCAACTCAAACCAGATAATGTAATTATAGACTTTTCATTTATTATCACAAATGAATTTATAAATGGTAACTTTAATTTGTTATCATGTCTAAAAAATTTAATTTTTAATCTTAACCAACTTATTACTAATAATTCTAAATAAATATTCATAATTATTTAACACTTTCTATAATATGTAGTGGTTTTAATATTTATTTTTCTTTACTACATAGTATGTTAACATATGCAAGCTAATATTAAACTTATTAACTTAACATATTATATAAGAGATATTGTTACTTTCATTATGTAGAAAATCTAAATTTTTTATAATTAATAAAGTAACAATGTTTACCTATAAAAAAATAAAATAAAAAAATAATTATTTAAAAGAAATCTTTTTATTTTTATAATAATTCAAATTATATTTCTGTTTTTAAGTTAATAAAATAATTATCTCTTTTAAACTTGTGACTTTTTGTAGTTTTCTTAACTAAATACAATTTATTTATTTAAACTGTTACAATATATTTAAACTCTTACAAAAATATTAACTGTCAAAATTTCATATATATTAATTTAACTTTATCAATAGACTTAATATTAATTTATAAATTTTATTTTTGATATAATGTACTATATATACAATAATAATAACGAATTTATTTAATACTTTTTTATAAAAATAATTTTGATCTTTATAATCTGATAACTTTAATTATTTGAATAAATTAATAAATTATATTTATTTATTCAAAATAAACATGTAGTAACCTGATTGAAATATGCAAATATATCTATTCCCCAAATTGTACCTTTTTATAGTATGCACAACCACCTGAAATCATCTGATTATCGCAAATCGAATCTGACCCCAAAAAGGGTATATGTGATAAACAAATATTGTTCCAACAATAATATTTTGACGAAAACTAATCACGTTCGGCCAATGGATTTGAGTGAATTGTTACGAATTTGATTCGAATGTCTTGGATGGGTCTGTTCTTTTCGTCAACAGGTACTTTCTCAATGGCATCAAGTGTGGTATCTGTGCCGTCGATAACCCTTTTGATTTTTAAATCATCAACTATGGGCACAACGAGAACGCAGAAAATCAGTAAAAGAACTACTTACTTTGCAAAAACCGTGTATTTCGTATCCAAGTGAGGTAACTTGGCGTAAGTAATGAAAAATTGAGACCCATTAGTGTCCGGTCCACTGTTGGCCATTGATACAATACCTCTTGCGTTATGCTGTCGGGGCATCACATATGATGGACCTTTAATATCTGCGCGTTTGTGACTTCAAAGAGTATTATAGAAGGCAATTTTACCTTCAAAGATGATTTGATTTCATCCGCAAACTTCCTGCCCCATATCGAATTTCCTCCCTTGCCCGTTCCCGTTGGGTCACCAGTCTCCAACAATTTGACATACAAATTTTATTATTAGATAAACGAGATGGTTTATTTGATCTGCCTCCGGCTTACATAAAATACCTGTACTATGAAGCCTTTGATGTTCCTGGAACATTTATGAAATGTGGTAAAACCATTGAATAAAAACTTCCTTGATACTAGTAGGGTTATGCACATACCTGTGGAATAAGTTGTTGTCATAGTAACCGCTCGCGCACAGAGCCAGAAAGTTCTGCCTTACGGTGAAGCTTGTTAAAATACAATTCATGAGGAAAAAACGATTAAGTAGCACCACATACTTCAGCTGTTTTAGGCACCGCCTCACAAAAAACTTCGATTTTGAGGTCACCAAGGTCGGTGTGTAGCGTCACTGACTAAAGACATAAGTCAATTAGAGAATTTCTGAAAAAAAATAATAATCCATTTTAGACCAATCGTCCACCTCTAACCATTATTTTGACGAGACGTTAACGGGATGACTTAAGATTGAGGGAGATCATTATCATCGCTAATTTATTGCTGGCTGACATCATGTGACGAAGTACCGTTATATTTATTTATTTATTTGACTATGGATTCTCAATTCTCACCAAAATTTCCAGGAACAATATATTATTGCTTTTTAACCTGTATAGATTGTGACAATAGAATCTCCTTTAAAAAATATTAGGAAAACATCTGACTGGGAACGTATGGAAAAACCAAACACAACTGATTTATTTTATTACATTAAACCACGAGGTGGGAATAAGAAGAGCATCATTTAATAAATTTTTTTTCATTGAAATTCAGTTTTTTTTTCCTACTTTTACTTTCTCGATCGTTTCGACAGAAAAAGAGACGTCACAAAACTCTACGGGATGTCACAATCTACTTTCACAAGGCACTTCTCGGAGTCCGAGTGGAACAAATGGTCTAAAGCTTAACAACCATGATTTGTCAAGTATTTACGATCGATTTGTTCGACCATACAAAGAAAAAGGAGTCGAAAGGGATCCCACATATTTACCGTACATTAATATGCTTCCTGGTAAAGCAAGCTATCTGTTTTTGATTAATATCGTATATATATAAATATGCTTGCACACCTTATGTCCCATTCATACAAATATTAATTTAATAGGGAAGATGAATATAGTGCCAGATAAAATGAAAGTGCCAGATAAAAGCCTGAAAAAATTAATAAATAAACCCCGAAAATACAATGAAAAATATCCGCCTGATAAACCTCTCTTCGATCACAAAGCCATCGAACGTAATATGTTGAATTTATTTAAACCAGGGTTTATTCCGGGGGTAAGTTTTGAGAGAAATCATTTAATTTGACTTTTCTCAGGTTAGATTCAAAGAACAATTGTTGTATTTAAATAAATTTGGGGGACACGTATGATAGTTTGATCCAGCAGAATTTGGATTAGACGAAGAGAAAAAAATACATTCGACATCTTCACAAATCACATCTCACAATAATAATCGCTCTACGATAAATAGCTCGGCTCAAGGGAACCTGTTAGAAATGGGTATGCATGATAAAGTTTGTTTGAGATGTCAACTTCAAATAGAAATAATCTTGAATTTTTTTAACTCCGATTTTTCTCAGGTGGAGATGAGAAATCACATGAGAAGAAAAAAGTATGCTTTTTGGTTTTTTCTTTACCATTTTGACGGCAATTGATGATATAGGTCAATAGCTTCTCGTGATGATTCATTCATTTAGAAGAAGAAACATAAGTATGATGACTACGATGGAGAAAAAAGAAAAAAGCATAAACACGATAAAGAACACCGAAAAAATTCTACGGACAAAAAGAAACGGAAAAAGGTACGCAGCCATAGTTATCTCTTCTGTAATTTGTAACCTATTAAAAATTTGTTTAATCCTTACCTAGGAAAAAGAGAAAGAGAAAGAGAGGGTATGTTGAACTAATGGTGCACAGTTTTTTGTTGACGTGTGTTTCTGAGTGTGTGTTTAATAATAAAAAAAAAAAAAAAGAAAAAAAGGAAATCAAAAAAAAAAAATTTTTTTTTTTTCATGGGGAAAAATGATGAATGCAATCAATTATTTTCTTGTTGATTTATTAATATATATATATATTGATTTTTCACACTCTTTTTGTTTGTACATATTATATACATCAAGCTTTAATAATAATAAATCTAGATTAATTTAGCCCAAAATTTCAGTATGAAATTAGTAATATTATTTTAAATTATTGCACGACGCAACTACCTTTATCATCCGCGAATTCTACAAATTGCAAATTTTGAGCGACGTTATAATCATATTCTATCGCCAGCTCTTCTTCTATGATACCAGGATGCATGCGTTGTAGTTCGTAAAAAAGTAAATACGCATTCTGACTAAAATTGTTAAATAGCATGGTCGTATCTTTTAGAGAACCAAACTTCTTTACGCGTTCTGAGAGGTCTAAATCATCAATCCTGAACCAACCTTCTTCCTATTCACAATAAAGTGTGTTAAAATGATGGTCGTCATATTAAAGAAAAATTTTGACAACTACTCACATCATCTAATGTGTAGCCTTTATAATGCCCGCTAGTAAGGGTTTGACCATAGTGACAAACTACTGATCTTAATTTAAGACGATACTGTATCTCAATCCCGCAATGACATGGTGGATCGTCTGCCGCTTCCTGATCTACAAAGGAGCTGAAATTGACAAAAGGAGGGATGTATACGTTCTTCTTTATCCGAAATGGTTTCATCTGATCGTCGTATCCGTATCGTTTTAAAACGAGGGGTAGCATAAGATTTTTTTCAGGGAAATGGCATTCCTCGGCATTTGCCTTTTCGTCTTCATTAGAAATTAACGTATGTAAGTTTAGAGATCCCACAAAGACACGATAGCATTCATTCATTTCTTTACCTTGTTCGTTATTCGCGGAATAGAAAGGCAAAAGCTTCAGAAATTGCCAAGCGGAAACAGGTGCCTCTGTGTCGTCGGTTAAAAATCGCTTAATTCCCGATACCACGTTATCATGAAAGTAATTTATCAAAGCCTCTTCCAAGGAGACAGGTCTCTCGTCAAGTGGATCGCCCGGTATGGCAATCTGAATTAAGCGTTCAGTGACCACTCGTTCATCATTAGGATCTTTATTTCCTCCGTGAAATATGTACATTCCAAGAGGAAGGTAGGGAAGCTTGTAAAGGCATGATAAAAATAAGAATAACTCGCTGACGTCCTCTTGTGTTGGATTTCCGTTACTATCTTTGCCAATCCAACCGCAGATTAGTAGCTTCTCGCGAAGTTGCTAGCATCGAAAACAAAGAGTTTTAGAAAGAATGGTCTGTATGGCTCGAAGCTTGTGTAAATTAAAAAACAAAATTAACCTTGATCATATATGCATTCATGTATTCACCAGTTCGAAGTCGATTGACAAATAACCGTAAATGCGTCTGCAAACCTCGTGCATTTGAACCTTCTGGTTGAACGAGAAGCATACCATCAAAAGATTGAGTCCGGGCAAACATCGCGAATAACAGGCTATCTATGGATGTCACGTTTGTCATTCGAACAATAACGTTGAGATGTCATTTAGAAAAATAATCTTATGATAAACAGATGATTCACAATACATTAATTAATTAGTTGATCGATTACCTATATAACAACTAGTTAACCGGTCATTTTCTGCTCCAATCATTACAATGGTTTTTTGTATATCCGAAACCAATCCTTCCTCGGCCTCCTCCAAATCTCTACAATACCCAGCAACCTCGGATACATTCCACGAGTTTTGTTCTAGTAATTTCTCTATTTGAGCCGTCTCCAATGGGTGACCAAGCTCTTCCAAATATGTTCTCAGTTGATCTGTTTTACTTTCTTTATCGGGATCTACGAGGTTGACCAGTTGTGCCGGTCTCTTTTTTGAAGAGGAAAACAGATAATGACTTATACCGTCTCTTATTCTGTGTACCGAAGAACGCGAGCGTTTCTCAGGGATTTTCCCTTCTTCGGCACTAATGTCCCCATCGACCATCATGATAAACAAATTTCTAGATGAATATCTAATTCCATTAATTCATTTCGGGCTGGTTTTATAAGTTTTTTCGTTCTGGTCGTCAAATGACCATTTACAAACAAGCGCCAACAAATCTATTAATAGCTTTATTACGTATCATAAAAAAAAACCTAATCAAGTATGATTACATAAACACTTGTGCAGATCAATTCGATATAGACAACTTTGTTAACTAGAATACAATTTATTATAAAAATAAATTACTATCGGACTTTTTACCAAAGAAAACAAAGACAAAGAAATCTATAAATAACGCACAAATTTTCCTATCATCAAATTCTACAGAAATGATCTTCTAATTCGCTATCATAACAATCAAGAATACTCGAAGCTCGAAATATAGAATAAGAATGATAGGTAGTCGATGAGAGTTTGGATAGAGCGGGAGAAGCGACATATTCCTTTAGAATTCCCATCAACTGATGCTATTCTAGCAATAAAAACCACTCTCAAATTTTCTACATTAAATAGCTGAAGTGAAATGCAGGTAATGCACGACTATATTGTAGGATTCTCAAGAATGGTTGACATGATGTCAAAAAAAAAAAAAAGAATTCTTTTTTAAGGAGATGGATCAGCATTTGCTAATAATGGGGTTTCTTCCGTCGGCGAACAGATATCTCTCTTACAGAAAGGGCACTGTATGTGCGGTGAAACAGTGATCATTTCGTGAACCTCTAATACGTTGCACAAAGCGTAAATTAATTAAGAAAGATCAACTTACGAATTTTTTCCTTGTGGTTAGCCAGCTATCGATACAAGCAACATGAAATTCGTGCTTGCACGGCATGATCCTCAGCTCATCTTCGTCAATGTATTCGTCCAGGCAGATTGCACATTCTTGCGGATCATTTTCTTCCCTCTTGGATTCATAAAATATCTTCGTGGGTAAGTTTCCAACAACTCGCTGTGGTGCAATGTCCTGTTTACGTCTCTGACGTTGGCGGACGCGCCAACAGATATATATAAAGATCATCATCACGGTTGGTGTTAGAATCACGAAAATGATAATGTCCAACAGAGGCCTGTGATATTATTATCGAATGGTTTTATGTTAATCCAATTTAATTTTATCGACAAAAAAAGAAACCTATGTGAGGAAAAATATTACCACTGAAAAAGATCATCTTTAATGAGTTGTACCTCCAGAGGTTTGTTGACCATCATCGAGAGGGATCGAAGAGCTCGGTATTCAGTTTGGGCAATAAACACCGAAGGAATCTTCACATCAGATGTATCCCCTGGATAGAAATTTATCAGTTAAGACAACAATAAACCTTTCATATGGTAACAACAAGAAGTGACGGCGATTTACAATTAGAATAAAGAGAAAAGTGATAAATACATATCATTGTCAAAGACTCACCAGTGGCATACATCGTTATCAGCCCGTTATGCTCATTATCCCCAACCACCACGGCAACGGCACCTGATTCTTGCATGTTCCGAACTTTGTCGATGAAAGAACACTGACCGCGTTCGACAAGGGCTATCCAATTTTTCTGGTTGACCTCATTTTTCAGTTTACTGCAACCTTTCACATTTTTTTCTTCGAGCTTCTCGACCGGCACGATGAAACCGGCGAATCCTTCTTCGGTCAGACGTGGACCGAACGCGGCTATTCGATCTTGATACGTGACATTGGTGACCTAAATTGTTTCGGGTGTACGTGAAAATCGATAATTAAAAAAAATGAGGTAATTTAATAAGCAAAGAAATGTGATCATACGATAACACCATGCATATCTAAAATGAAACAAGAGATAACTATGAATACGCAATTTCCAACAATATCAACCCTATTATATATATCCCTAAATTTCATTTGACGTTTAATTTAAACCGTCACATTAATAAGAGCCTGACTCACTAGTTTGCCTTTGCAAAGTTCTTTAACATTCCTCTGACATTCGTTACTTTTGAATGAAATGTTATCTTACCACAACAACTATTGTAGCTTCAGCAGCAAAGTTACCAATGTGATACTGGTGAGCTACAAAGAGGAAGTTTGCCAATAATAGCAACAGGAACCGCTTAAACAAGTGTAAAAACATTAAGAAGACAAGATATACAAGGCGTGCGCTTCAACTCAAGTTTAACTTTGAAACTTTATACGTAGCACTGGCCTGTTCAACTGACTTCCATCCGCAATTGTGAAAGGTTACACGAGTATGGTTAGTAATTAATCATTATACGTATGTAGAATACGTACGTAAGTGCATATGTACTTAACTTTCTTTATGCTGCAAGTACGCCGATTTCGATTTATATATATGTACGCAGCGAAGTTCCATTGTATTAGGAGTTGAAGGACTTGAACTTCGTTGCGCTTTAAGGTAACTCACCGGTTCAAATTGCTTTTTTTTCCTATTTGCCTCGCCTGTGATAAAGTTGAAATGTGCGACCACAATTATTGTGTCGACGCGTCATCTGCTAAAAAAAATGGCATGATAAATGGGACGATATGTCTCATTGTTCCAACAATAGGATGTGAGAATTGGTGCACACACAAAATCACAATTTTGGGAATTTCTGGAATTTGTCTTATACCATATATGTATTTATATCTCTTATATTTAGCTTTTGAATGAATGAATCTTTTTTGAAAAAAAATTTTTTTTTCTCACATTTAAAACGACCTTCAGAAGGAAGTGGCTGATGTAGATAACCATCAGCCACCATTCTACTAAATATTACGTCATGCAAAACTTCATATTATTTATGAAATATGTATATAAATAAATTAAAATACTGTGCGTTGTGCTTTTGTAATACGATCGATAAAAAATAAATTTTATATAACAATATATTTAATAACTTATTATCAGATTTAAAACAAATAAATCTTATATTAAATATTTATAATAAATTAATAATTAAAATAATTAATATTATTGTATATATATTATTATACTGTATTCAAATTTTTATTTATAAATATTTTTATTATTTTTATTTATTTATTTATTTTGCAAATAAGTATTAAATACAAAACTTTATTTAAATAAGAATATTTATTGTTATTACATTAACAATCCTTATCTAAATAAATTAATTGTAGTCTATTACAGTATAAATAGAGTTTCAATTGATACTATTTAATATAGTATTTTGTAAAATTTATATTAAAAATTTTAAATATAATACTTTAAAGTATTAATATTATATCAAAGTATTGAAAATATTAATACATACTAATTAAAGTACTATATAAAGTTTCAAGTAATAATATATTGTATATATATGTGACAATAATTATTAAATTAAGTTAGATATAATTAAAATTAAAAATTTTAATAATTGAATTAATAATAATTTTTTATATAATTAATATAATTATAACTAAGATTTCAATTAGTATTCTTTAATATAATATTTTATAAATTAATATTAAAATTTTTTTTTCAATAATGATAATAATAAATATCAAATTGAAAATATTATTATAAGATTTCAATTAATATTATTTAATATAATATAATAAATATATTACTTCTTTAATATAATTATTTTTTAAATAAAGCTTTTCAAATAATTTTACAAATCTATACATATTGCTGAAATTCGTAGATCCTTGACGCAATTGATGCAATTATTTGATGCAATTAATTGAGTCACTATTAAAACATATAAATAATTGAGTCATGATGTAATTATTTTTGAAGATTTTGAGAATTGAGTTAACAGCAAAATAATTTACGTCACATGTATACTTGAGACACAGATCAAACCAACCTAATAATGGAAATGTTAGAAAGGAAAATTGATATCCTAGGTCTATGTGAAACAAAACTATCCAAAGAAAACCAACACTTCACTTTTCTAAATCAAAAAGAATATAAAAGTATCTTGAGTGTTAAACCAGACAACTCCAAAAGCACAGAAGTTCTATTACTAATTCATAGAAGTATCAAAGATATATAGCATCAATAGATAAAATTGAAGGTTATTTTATAGCAATCAACCTTCTAAACAAAGGCCATAAGATATGGATTGCTCAAGTATACCTGCCAGTGACAAAAAGAAAAGCTGGGAACTACAGAAGAAGATCTTAAACCTATTACAGACCTATATACAAAAAAATCATGAGATCATAATAATGGATAACTTCCATGCAACACTTAATCCAAGAGTAGATTATAAAATAACAAGTAATACGCAAGAATTTTTCAAGCCTGAAGATCTTAAAATCAGACTGTTCAGTCTCATGAACAGTTGGAACCTCTCTAATTTTTATCAACTATAAGAACCAATAGAGACAATCCACATATGAAAAAACAATATAAGCTCCAGCAGAATCGATTATATCTGAGAATCCTACGGTATAGCAAACAATATATTTCAATTCAACAATGAAGACTTTCGCTCAATTTCTAACAGTAATCATATCATATTATCTGTTCAAATCATATGAGATATCATGTTTAAAGATCAACAGATAAGTATGGAAAAACCCAAGCCCTATAGGGAAAAAATAATTAATGTCTCTAAAATAACAGAATCACAATAGAAAAAATACGGACACAAGATTGACCTAAAGCTACAACAAAACAACATTTCAAACCTAATTTAAACAATACATTCCAATTATACTAATGACAACAAGTACAAACAATTAATTCAAGACTCATGAAAGACATTCAAAAAGATTCTAATAACCTTAGCTTTTAACCACTTATATTGCAAAAAAAGAACAATAAGAGAGAAGATCAAGACAAACTTTCACAAGAAAAGTCAAAGAAAACAACTTGCACTTCACAGTCATCGTCTAATCACTAAAACTCTTAACAACTGGTCCAATTTACTAGACCCATTAGAAGAACCAGTCCAGAAACAAAAGCTATGATGTAAATGCAAAAAAATTAACTAAAATATAGTATCAATAACATCGGCACTCAAATCAACTCAAGCTCTTTCAAACATTCTTGAAGAAGAAAAAAAGGAAGACATCTTGGTGCAACAGCTTAAAGAGACAGTCAACTTTTTTAAAAAAATATGTCTCAATGAGGAAAGAAACAAAACCAATATAGAAATCAAATGAGCAATTCAAGAGAGATGCAAGAATCTTAGAGAGAACAAAAGAAAGATAGTACAGGATTTGATAAACAACTTCTGAGACAAAATTATTATAGACAGAATTTGTATCCAAGACAAACTAGAAAGAGAGTACATATCAATAAACAAAGAGAAAATTCTGTATCAAACCACAGAGTACTATAAAAAAGTCTTCAAGAAAAGAAATAACAACTTTGATCTACTAGACAAGAAATGAAAAAAACAGTACACTCCTAAAGCTGAAATAAAAGAAGAATGGTATAATAAGATGATGAACACTATTTTGGAAAATAAGTTGAAAGAATTTCTGAAAGATCTTCCAAATGACAAAGCAGCAGAATCCAATAAGATCAAATACGAGATGTTCAAAAATCTCAAAACAATAGAAAAAAGAATACTATAAAACTTATGAACATATATCTAACCTATAATATAACTCCCGCAGTATGGAAAAAAAGTTTACTATATCCAATCTCGAAGGGAAAAGAATGACAAGACATCCTAAGCAACACTAGACCAATAGTTTTTCTGGATGTCTTACGAAAGTGTTTTATCAAAATTATCATTAATCGACTATCAACCATATGCAAAAGATACAATATTCTAAAGGGTTCTAATTTCACAGGAATGCTAGGAAAAAGCACTTCTGAACCTATTTACTTGCTAAACAATATCTGCGAAGAAGCCAGAAAAAAGAAAAAAGAACTGTGGATCCTATTTCAAGATATTATCAAAATATATAACATGATTAGTTTGGAAATGTTACAAAAAGCACTTCAAAGAATCAAAATTCCAGAGAACCTCATAGCACTCATATTAGACTCTTTCATTAATAGATCTTTACAAGTAATTACTGATGTAGGAATTACAAAGAAAATAATGGCGGAGGATGAAATAGATCAAGGGAAAACAATTTCTTCTCTTTTTTGATGTATTTTTTATGATCCTTTGCTAAAGATCCTAACGATTCTCTTCGATTCTGTATTTAATTCTCAAGTTTATATTAAATTTAATAAATGGAGTATACCTCACCATTATTTTTAATAGTGTTTTGAACCTCATGCGATTCCCTGTAATTCTGTTTGATTCAAATTTTTGGAACCATATCTCTTGTTATATGAAATCCAGGAAAATACAAAACTGGGATACTCTATAAACTGTGAATAGAGAATCAACTACAGTAAAAATGAAACTATGCAATTGAATATCTGACAAGCTGCAATAGCATATATGGACAACATGATATGGATCGCCAGATCAGAAAAAAACATGGAAAATATTCTCGAAAGAGCCAAGTGGTTTTATGCAACTAATGACTTTCAGATCAATGGCAACAAGTCTGTATTAATAACAATAAATAGTCATAACAAAGGACTAAACTCAGTAAAGATTGGAATAAACCAGCAAGAAGTAGTTGAGAATGATTACAACAGTTTCATTAGATTCCTAAAAATATGGATAGGAAGTAAAAAACAGACCAGAGATATAACTCTTCAAATCTAGCAAGAAATTACTACTGTAGTATCAGGCCTTCAGAAGAAAAGAATAATGAATAAACATGCAAAGTATATTTTAAATAAAGTTCTTATTCTCCACATAGAATACTGGATGCAACATTGTTTCCTAGATCAAAATATATATAATAGCCTAACAGCCCAATTAAGAAAGACTTTAAAAAAAATAGTAGGACTAATCTCAACAATTCCAAACTCAACTATCCATTACAAAAAGATATACAATATCAAAAATATTGAGAAAATCCAAGTAGAAAACCTGATCTCCAACTTTATGAACAGATTAAGTGATACGGATCCAGCCAGCATATCCACACTAATTTGTTTCAAACAAACCCAAATCCAAAATTGGGAACTAAGCAATATCCTAATCAACGATATTCCTGATACTTTAGATATTCAAAGAACTTCTCAGCCCAAGTACTGAGATCAGCAAATAATCTGGGAATTATAATATTTAACTTCTGATAGTCAAACCATTTTGAATGGAAAAAAGGCTTGCTATTTATCAAAAATAAGCTTAACGATACAGAAGCATATTAGAAAGCAATTCCATTCCTAAAAAAATACAATATAATGTTTGTAAACCAATTAATCAACAAAGACACAAGAACAATACTACTCTAAAAAATCATTCAAATTTTGTCTAAAACCAGTAAAGGATCAATACTATCATGGTACAATAAAATCCAAGTAACTCTCACAAACAGACACAATGTTCTAAATAATAGATGGCAAAATTGGAACTAGAAAGAACAAGATAGAAGATTTTTTACAAGTAATCAAAACAAAGACTGATGCCAATAGAGTTGGAAAATCATAAATACAGAAGAAACAAATGAACAAATCACTTGATACAGAAGCAAAGAAAACTCAAGTTACCAGACTCCACATGCAGAGATCTATAAGTTGAAGATATGATCCAAACCAGACTCAGCCAAACTTCAAAGAGTTCTAGACAGTATTCAAACAAATTTCAAAGGAGAAACAAGAAATCTCTTGGATAGAATAAATTCCTGTAGAGGCAACAAAAAATCAAAGATCAGAGTCCTAGCATGTGATATTCTTAATCAATGCCCATCATTAAGAAAAGCAGATGAACCAGAAATTCCA